GGGGGGTAAAAGAGAAGTGGGTTATTTTTTGCACTGGTGATTGTCTTGAACAGATGGCTTTGAGAGCAGGTTGGACCGTAGTTTAAGTTCACTATTTCAGTCCTCTAAGTGGATGTCGGTGGCCTAGTAGTTAGGCTCTCAGACTCACAACTGCCAGGTAGTGGGTTCGAATCCCATCAGGGGCCTGACATTGTGTCCTTGGGAAAGGCACTTCACACGCTTTTTCGTCATTTCACCCAGGTGGGAATGGGTACCCTGCTATAGACGGTGAAAGATCTTGTCAGTTTGTTAGTGTTTAAGCGCTTAATCAGCTGCTTGCGCTGTATGCTTCTTGGGAAGCTGAGAATGTTTCGGAGTGTTTTATGTCTGCTGGGGTAATAATATAGTGTAAAGTGCATAGAGCTTGCTGTTGAGCGGAGGTATGCGCTACACAAATGCTATTATTATTATGAACAGCAGTGCAGTCAGTGAAGTGCTGTCTGTTATCTTTCATATTATCTGTCTGTGATGATTGTCTTGTTGGCCTATCAGTAAGAAATACCTGGGGAATAGAAAGTAAAATACACTTTCTCTTTTTCTGAGACTAGATTTGTATAGATATCTCCTGTTTAAGCCAGGAAGGGAACCTGTCATCTTTTGATTGCATGTCAAATGGTCCAGTGTGTTCTGAATGAATTTCCTGAACCAGTTGTGGCCTTATATTTTGTTCTGATCTCATGTTTTTTTCTTCCTCAGCCAATCATTCCAATGTTCACCATGAATATCAGAGAAGCTTTCAGAACTCCTGGCTGGGCCAGAGGTAAGATGTGATGGTATCTATTGATTGCTGGCAGACTAATTGACAGATAAATAGACAAACTGACAAACAAATGGACATGGGAATGGATATTGCGTATCGTTTCCTGCAAAAACAGGAAAACAAGTGTTGCAGTGTGGTCTGATGCATCAAGGATATTTTAAGTCTGACTATCAATCTATGAGTATGATTGGTGAATTCTCCTGTCTTGTTTGACATATTGTCGCTGTCGGAAGCAATCCACCTTTGTTCAAATTTTGAGAATTTTCCATTTTTACACCCTTCTAAAGCTTTATCAATGATGCACCTTTCAATATCACCAAAATGCAGTTTAATGCTGTGGTCAAGGCTTACAATGTTCTTGCTTTTCATGATTCTGATAGGAACAATGCAACAAAAACTAGTTTTATGTCCCTGGTGTAAAGAGTAACCAAACTGACTTCAGTGGCTTGCTTTCGACACCAATGATATGAATGGTATCTTTTCCTCTCAATGTCCTCCTATCTATCTGTCTGTGAGGGTGACTGGTGGGTACCCCAGTGTGGTCCATTCCTTGTACTTCTTTTTGGTGTAGCTTAACTGTGATCCAGAACCATTATTTTGAAATGAGCTGGGTGGTTGAAGGGTGCTGCTGGTAAACTGTTATTTTTCTTTTCTTTCCTTCTGTAGTTTCTTTCTGTGTCTTACTTTTATCATGTATGAAATAACAGTTGTTGTGTCAGTGTGTTTTGCTTTACTCAAACAGACTTTTGAATTTGGGTCGTAATCAAGTGTTTTTGCCGTGAATTGCTTCACTCAAAGAAAAGTTTGGAGTTTGGGACATTAAGAAAGATTTTTGTTTTTATGTTTTTCAGCTTGGCTTCGAGGATTTTATGAACGCACTCGTCTACCTCTAGTACCAATTTATGGATTTTTCCCGGTGAAATTAAAGTAAGTCCAATAGTTTGAAAAGTAAGAGCTGTAGTATCCTTACTGTGGGAGGAAGCACTCTATAATGTTAGTGTTTTGCCTCTCAAAATGAATGTGGGAGGAAGGGTGGGTGGGGGAGGGGGGGGTTTGTGGGGGAAGTTTTTAATATTTTTTTAATTAATCAAGTCTCTGGGACTTTGGCCAGGATTTGGCTCTGTCGGGCGAGGTCAAAGTAGGAGACCTACAAAATTCTTTATTCTCTAATATGATGAAGAAAAAAAAAGAATGATAGAACCTGTTTTGCCTATCTGTGTGTCGGTGCTTCACTCTTAGGTCAGTCGTGAAACAAGGCTATGTGTTCGGTCCACCCTATCATGACACGAGCATGCCTTAATTCTTCAAGCTCTGCCCTCCCCCCTCACTCTTTTCTTCCGCCACGTCTCCACCCCCACCACTCCCCCCCCCAACCACAACCTTACACCCTCCTCCCCCTCTCCGTCTAAGCCTACAGGTCCCTAAGCCTACAGGACCCGTGCACCAGGTTAATTATGCATATTGAAAGCTTGGGATTGAGTTACCCCTTCTTCTTGCTTTCCTTTAGTTTAAACATATTACAAGGGAAAATACAATTATAATTTTTCAAGCTCCTGTAATGTAATATGTTTATGTTTTTCTTTTCAGAACAATATTTGGGGAGCCTATAATTCCTAACCCAACATTATCGCATGAGGAGCTGAGAGACTTGGTAATTCCATTTGTTTAGCATTTTTGAGTGTCTATGTCTCCATCATAAAGCTTTATAAAGTCAGTTGTGGCATCTAAAAATACATTTTCTTTAACTCTTTTCCTACCAGGCCAAAATCCGCCACTGGCCCAGGGCTTTTACCTAACCTATTTTTACGCCCCTACCCCACCAAAGGAAAATGTCAAAACTTCCAACTAAACACTCTCAAACCATATCTTATGGCCCATCAAACTGAAGGTTAAAAAACAATCTATCAGATGGCGATACAATATCGAAGATTTATTCCAATTATATTACTTAGGGGTTCTAAAAGTGATTATGCAATATCGAGGGTGTCATATGAAATCAACAATTTTCCAGCTTTGAAAGGTCATATCTAAAAAATATAAACAACAGCATCATTCAAACTTCCCAGGTAGGTTGCCTCAAGTAATGTGAAGAAACGCTGAAAGTTATGTGTGTGTACCTATTACAAAAGTGAAAATATGAGACATATACTGAAGTCAGGGGAGCGCTTCTCTTCTTATACTTACGTGTCAATGGGGACCCAAAAAAAAGCGCGCTGAAATGACTAAAAATCGTCTCTCAGTGTTATATTTTTTCTTTCGTATCTGCTAACAGGAAGTCTATTCTATTATTTTGAAAACATTGATCGGCCGAGGTTTTCGTGTCTTTTCATAACTGGAATGGAATAGATAGCGAGCTGCTCGAGCCGTATTTTGCAGCTCCCCGTACAGCGAGGCCAGGTCCCCGAGCTGCAAAATACGGCTCGTGGTAGGGAAAGTATTAAAGTAGAACACATACATTCTCATGCGCACATATATACTGACACACACATATCATACATACACTTGCTTTGACTTGCACAGGATTTTACTAGATAATTGATATTGTGGGTGGTTGCCACTAGTAGGTCCTTTTTGTTTTCTTTTCCTTCACTATTCCTGTATGTATGTTTGTATGTCCTATTCTCTTTCCCAACACTAAACAACTGTTATTATGTCGATGTGTATGTCTTTAATCAAAACAATTGAACCACCTGAAAGATAGCTCCTTGCCGGTGGATAGCCGGTGTTCTGATGTGGTTTGCTCCTTTTTTCCTATCAAGCATCTGTCGTCCTTACCTCATCTCCCCCCTCCCCCCCCTTTCTTTTTTGTTTGTTACTTTTTTGTAAAAATTCTAATCTTCGGCACGTATATGACCTTATTGTGTTGCAAGTGCCGTCTAGCACCTACTAAGACAATGATAGCTTGTTAATTATTTTGTTCTTGCGTATTTCCCCTCAGGTGAAGAGCAGAATTGAAGACCTTATCATTTCTCACCAGCCTCGACCAGGAAGTATCCTCCAAGCTCTCCTGCAGCGTTTTCCATGGTTTCGGTGACGGCAGCCATGTCTTCGTACAGTTCCAGAGGTTTTCTCCTGCCCTATTTACAGCCTTATTTAGCTGACCCTTTAAGCCAGTGGCTGCTTTGTGCTTGTTCAGTCCAGTGACCAAACTATGGGGACCAGCTTCAAGATGGTGAAATTTTGTTGGCAAGTATACTTAGTGAAAAGGCTACTAGGTCACAATATTGAGCTATAATTCTGAAAAATGCATTTTTAAGTACAGTTGAACCTGCTTTAACAGCCATCTGTTCAAGGCAAACATGTTCTAACGATCACATCCCACTTCCCCTTGCATTATGATGACACTGTCCAAGACATCCATTTGTCAATGACGACTACTTTTGCCTTTGAGAATGGGTAGCCATCATGGACAAGTTCAACTGTATGTTTAATCAGGAAAAGCATTTACCAGGAAGGTCTACTATTGACTATAATAATAAGTACATTTACTCTAAGTTAGACTAATGTTGTGTCTTGGAAGCTCTTTCGCTCAGGTATTTTTCTGTATTTTTGAAAGTGTTGTGTAAGTGAAGAAGGTTGAGCTTCTCTCTTTCACTTTAGGTGATTGGTGATGCCCTCATTTTATTGGCCCTATGGGCTGCATGTGATGTGCGGTGCAAGTATTGATATCATAGTAAGTGTGTGGTGAGAACGGCACATTACCATCCCTCTCTTGTTTCTGTCTTGATTTTTCACCTGCGCTAAATGGTCATTGTTGTGTTGTTGAGCAGTTCATTAGCTCCGACTGCATATCATTGTTTGAGTGTTTCTTGTTTGCCGTTATATGATGGGAACTGCTTCAGGTGTCTTTACGGTTGGATGAGGCTGGAGGGTCTGTGGGTTCGAGGCTAGCTTGTGGGGTTGATCGGGATGTAGAGTCTGTATTTACAGTGTGGGCGAGAAGTGAAGGTAAAGAAACAGCTGGTTTGTGCCAGAGATGAAGGTGATGGCACAACTGGTTTGAGCTAGGGGGGAAAGCAATTTATTGGTGCAAGAGGGGGAAAAAAGACTGCTGTACTGTTAACAGTGAAGGAAAATCTTTTGTGACAAAGTTAAAATACGCACAGTAGATGTTTGTCGGTGATTAAGTCAAGCTCTTTTGAGCCATATCTTTTCGTGGGATTCCTGGTATATCTTTTGTACTATCCTGAGATTATCTATCAAAATCTTAATATTTTGCTGATTTTTTTTATATTTTGGTTTGAATAATTGTTTTGTGAAGTCCACCCTCACTGTGCTATAAATATTGAGTTCACCAATTTCCTACGAAGCAATGTGGGGTGCATTGCAAAACTGGACTTTGTGTATTGGTAACCCACACTGTGTGTATTGACTGGATGACAATTTGCTTTTGTATGAAGGGAGTAGACGAACTTTTATCTAATGAATGCTTTTATGACAATTGTGGGTAAGTATCATCTGGAATTTTATAAGCTAAATCATTTCATCTAAAGTCTGGAATTACTTTGAGGTTTGAAATTTAGAGAGAAGTTGAAAAATGGTGTTACGTTATTGTTAATCCTACGTCACCATTAGGCTTGCCATTTACTACTGCTCTCTCTCTGATTGTTCTTGACTTAAACAAACATTATAGCTTCTCACAAGGGAAAAGCAAGGCTCTTTCAAGAGCAAGTCATCAATAGGATTGAAAATGAAATTCTTTCAGACGACTATAGTAAGTCTTCAGGATGTGAGAGTGGAAATTCTAGTGACTTCCATAAATAAAAAACATGATCACTTTTTACAAACATAATTCAGACACTGAATTGGTGCTCTAGTCTAGTTGTTCCTTCTGTCTTGTCAAACATCTATTGTCTTGATCTCTCCTGCTTTTTTTGTGTTTGTTAATCTCTTGTAACACCTCTAATCTGCAGCATTTTATATGACCTTATTGTGTTGCAAGTGTCGTAAGACTCTTACTAAAACTAAAACACACTGCATTGGATTTTAAAATGGAAAATAATATATAACGTGCGCTTTCCAATTTCTAACGTAATGAGACATAATTATGACATACTTTGTTTTCTGTACTGACTACAATTTATTTTCATTATAAAATGTTATGTGCTCCGAGTGACCTTGTCGTGAAAATATGTCCATCTCAAATTGGAACTGGCATCTGTACTAGGAGGAAAGAGTTAATGCCTGTCTTCATCACACAAATATATGGCTCAAGGGAGATGAGTTCTGAAATCCAAATGATAATTAATTAACCTCATCTTGAATAAGCGTGCTGCTTGAACGAATGAATGCTCGTCTCTATTTATGGCGTGATGCTGAATTGTGCTCTCAGTTGCCGGCATCACACTAACTCAGTCGAGTCTATGTGAACAGATATTATGAACTTAAAAGTCATAGATTTTTTAAACTGTGATCATAGTTCTTATTTTTTCTTTGTACTTGTATATTGCGTCATGACATGCTGGAATCGGATGCTTGTCAATTTTTGGGTATATGAAATTTTTGGCATAAACTTTAAACTTATTCATTTGCCTTTCTTTTAATAAAAAAAGAAAATACACATTTATCTAAAATAAAAGTCTAAATATTTACGATTGAAGGAGATGGGGATGGCCTGGTGTAGGACGTAAAACTAGTGAGAAAATGGATGCCAAAGTTAGGGGACTTCCAAAGCTTTAGAGTGCTTGGACACTGGAAATTTACATTTTTTTGTGCCCTTGACCATCTCATCGGGGATTTTTTTTTTTTTTTAGTAAAATCCATACACAAATGTGTTTTAGATGGACGTAATAA